CTGAAATGTGCATTGCGAAAATTTGAAGCAAATTGGACAAATATTAAATAAATTATCGCCAAAAACAGGGTCTCATGGGGTCTGAAGTGCATGTAGTCGCAAAGGTCGCATTCATCAGGGATGAGTTCAGAGCGTGCACTGTCTAGGAAGGAAACGGTCGAAATGCAAAACTTGAAATCGAAATGTCACGACACTTGACAATTCTACACGGGGCCCGGTTTTGACAAAAACGTGACAATCATTTTTTTCAGACACCACAAACTTTTCCCCGACTGGCCATATTACGATCAATTACGTATGTAAAGTTAAGTTTTGGGTTATTTGGGAATTATTGGCCACGCACTCGTGAAACCCATTTGCATCACTGACCTGTGCATTCCCGGCATTACCTTTTTGAACTATCCCATATCCAGCGCCCTGATAAGGGGGGATCATTTTGGCCCCCCTGTGGTTTTTCTTAAATAACGAGAAAACGGCGGCGTGCAGCGCCGCCAAATTTTTAGTACCTTCCCGGGCATTAATTTGACACTTTCACACAAAATTTCAAGTCACAGATCACCTTGGGTCAGGAGTTATTGAGGTCAAACTGAGGTCATGTTCGAGTAAAAATGAGCAAAAAATATGACATCTTGAAACGCTCACCAAAAATACAGTTAACAAGCAATTTTAAAGTTCTTTATGTGATTGTGTGGAGAAAAGACGGCGCTACAAAATTGTTGTCTCAGATTTTCAAAATTTTGGGATTTTGACCACCCCCCAATTTTTTTTTTATAGAAAAACAAAAAAAATCCCCAAATTCTTTAGAATTTCGAAAAACGGATTATATGTGATAGTCCCTGCGCTCTTCGATATACATATCAAATTTTAGATCGATACCTCCTTTTTTGGCCAAGTTATAGCGAAAAACTGTTCAAAATTGATGACGTCAAATTTTTTAACTCAATTTTTAGCTATTTTAGATCACGTAGCTCAAAACAAAGACCACCATTGAACTTCCCGTGACGAGCTGCATCGAATCGATACCCATTTTATGCAAAAATATCAACTTTGAGATTTGACCTAAGTTGACCTGACCTTGACCTGACCTTCACCAAAACATAATCTCAACTGACCCCAAGGGCTGCCTGTCCCACATTATCGCATTTGGCATATAAAGTGGACCATAAAACATGCATCACATGATATTTTTATATTGTGACCCTCAGTGACCTGACCTGGTATCAGTGACCTCAAATAGCAAAATATGTGTTTGACGAACATTTCCCTATCGATGGTTTTCAATGAAATGCATTTTACTCGATTTTACAACGCATTTCTTGAAATGCCTGTAAACGGTGAAAATTCGACCTCTGACCTGACCTGTGACGTCATCGGTTAAACCGAGGTCAATGAAATTGGGTCACAAGGTAGTTCCCCGTTGGGGCTATCCAACGCCCTTTGCCGCTTGTCGCTACGTTGCGTGATTCTCGAGATCTTAGGGGGGGGGCAAAATGCCGCCCCCCTCCCCATCAGACCGCGTTGCTCGGCAGACCCCATCAGGGCGCGGGATATATCTGCTTCTCTCCCTCCTCTATTATAGCTCGTAAGGTGTCTGCTCTGCAGTTCTAGCCCACGACACTATAGTAATTGCAGTTCCTCTGCTGGTCTCCAAACGTTCATCTGGTGCAGGAACAAGGTCATCATCTTGATCTACCCCTGGACTGTTCATCGTCCAGAAGGCAGCACCTAGCGCTTTAGTCGCAAAGGTCGCATTCATCAGGGATGAGTTCAGAGCGTGCACTGTCTAGGAAGGAAACGGTCGAAATGCAAAACTTGAAATCGAATTGTATTCGAGCTCTCATCGACTTCGACCTCTCGAATTCGAGCTATCCATCCCCTTCGAATTGTTGGGACACTGCCCATGGCCCCAGGAAAAATAAGGTAATCTATATTAGGTGGCATTTCCGGCCGTGTCTGTTTCTTTGGAGCTCTTAGCCTTGGCGCTATATTTTGCGCAGTGGTTTCGAAGACCTTGGGAATCGGACCCCTCTTAATTCTTATGACGCATCATGAACTGAGATAGCATCAATATCTCCAGTGGCCGATTCTTCTGATGCTGAAAAGATGCTAGGTGAAGCCAAAAGGGTAGTGCCTGCCTAGTGCCTACTGCCTACACCTATGCCTAAGAAGCCGACCTTTGCTACAACCCCACCGGATACGGGTGTTTTTGCAGCAGTGAGCTGTGACAGCCGTCGGGCACAATGTACCACGGGCACCTAACGGAATAGCACGGAACCAGGGTAACCTAGCCGGGAAGTCGATCATGTGCCATTCCGGTGTCCTACGTCGACCATATGACTAGATTAAATTCACCGGGTAGGTACGGCTCTCGCGAGATTAAGCGGTAGGTTTTGCACTTTTACATTTCCGTTATATCTCAGAAACCAATCGATCTACGATTAAGCCATTTTACACGATCATGGCCGGCTTGTGAACCAACAAGTCGATCGCATTTTCAACACTTAAAAGCTTAAGACGACGAAGATATAGCCTGAAGTAGGTACACTAAATTTTCTAAATTCTAAGTGCAAAACCTACCGCTAAAACCCGCGAGACCTGTAGGCACGTACTTGGTGTCAGAACATTGGGGTAATATGCTCAAGCCTCTTGAGGTCAATGTAGGCTGTTATAGGTCTCTGTCTGTCTGTCTGTCTGTCTGTCTGTCTGTCTGTCTGCCTGTCTGTTTGTTGGAATCAGTGTTCGCCACGGGCCGCAAAACCCCAGTCCAGCCCAGCCCAGGCCCATGGGTTCACAGCCCGGCCCAGCACGAGCCCATTCATGGTAAAGGCGTCAAAGCCCAGCCCGGCCCAGCCCGTCAAAAATGAATGGATTAAAAATTAATGACACCACACAGGCATCCAAAGGTAGCAAAGAACAATCTTTAGCGAGCAGCATGCACAATGCACATTGCATGCGTGCTTTATTAACTCGTTTGCGATTGCTCTACATGCGATTAACTCGTCTTGCACAGTAATAAGCCGTGATGTAGTTATAGTTATTGTCTCAGTTGCGAACCCCCGACTCCACTTAAGAGTTCTTGGCCCAGCCCATCCACAGCCCATCGATCCTGCATATTTGAGGGCCCAGCCCAGCCCGTAGCCCAGCCCAGCCCATGGCCCATTGGGCTGGCCCGGCCCATGACGAACACTGGTTGGAATGTCTGTCAGTCTCCCATCTCCCTCTACCTGTATGTACCTCTCTCTTTCTCTCTCCCTTCCTCCCTGGTATCCCAGCAGCCCAAGTCGGTGTGTGTGTGGGGGGGGGGGTCGACCTCGTCCTCAACCACTTACAAGGGACAGTGGCGGATCCAGGGGGGGGCAATGAAGGCCATGCCCCCCCTCTGGGCCTCCCGGGGGCACCATCACGGAGTTTTTTTTTAATCATCACGAAGGTCACCGACGGGAGCTTCAAGTTTCAACTCATAGGTCTCCTAAAGGGGCACCATCCAGAAGGTCTATCGGAATAGGGTACCGTTTTCGGGGTCTCCCAGAGGCCCATTTCTGTCCCTCGCCTTAGGTGGGGCTATTTCCATCCCGAGGTCCGCGGGGGAACCATATCGAGTTCTCCGTGGTCTCCATCCCAATGTCGGAGGGGGCACCATCTCGAGGTCTCCGGTGGCACCATCGAGAGGTCTGGGGGCACCATCCCGAGGTCTGAGGGCAGAGGGGGCACCATCCCGAAGTCTCCGGGGGCACCATCCCGAAGTCTGTCTCCGGGGGCACCATTCCGAGGTCTCCGGGGCACCATTCTAAGTTTCCAGGGGCACCATTCCGAAATCCGAGGTCTAAAGGAGCACTTCTCCCCGGGTCTGAGGGGGCACCATCCCGAAAAGTAAGTGGCCGAAATCCGTGGATTTTTTAGGAGGGGGGGGGAGTGCACCAAATGCCAGGGGCACCACAATACCGTATACCCCCCCCCCCCTTGACGAAATCCTGGATCCGCCACTGAGAAGGGACAACTGATGCTATGCTGTGCTGTCATTTCTTTCCCTCACTGCGAACCAGTGTTCGCCACGGGCCGCAAAATCCCAGTCCAGCCCAGTCCAGGCCCATGGGTTCACAGCCCGGCCCAGCCCGAACCCATAAATGGTAAAAGCGTCGAAGCCCAGCCCGGCCCAGCCCATCAAAAATGAATGGATTAAAAATTATTGACACCTCACAGGGATCCAAAGGTAGCAAAGAAACAACATTTTGCGAGCAGCATGAACAATGCATATTGCATGCGTGCTTTGTCAACTCGTTTTTTTAGTCTTGCACAGTATGTAATAAGCCATGTAGTTATAGTTTTTGTCTCAATCGCGAACCCCTGACTCCACTTTACAGTTCTTGGCCCAGCCCATCCACAGCCCATCAATCCTTCATATTTGAGAGCCCAGCCCAGCCCGTAGCCCAGCCCAGCCCATGGCCCATTGGGCTGGCCCGGCCCATGGCGAACACTGCTGCGAACTGTTACGGCACCTGTTACGTCTATTCTACTTTTACGGTTTTTGCCCTAGGCTTGGCTCAGCTTCGGACCAATGACTCACTGTCACTCGATTTTTATGAAAAACTGGCGTAAAAGCAGTGTAGAGCGACAAAACTTTCACGGTATTCTCCTGCTTATCACTGACAGTTGACACGACCAAGGCCATAGAAACTACGACACGACCAGAGACTGCTGTTATTGATGGCGGTAACACTGGGCGAAAAATATCGCACTAATTAGGGATTTTCCTTCACTCTATTTTCGCTTGATTCTCAGTCAACTTTGCTACCAAATTTACGATAAGGACGCAAATGACGCAAATGCGACATAAAAATAGTGTTCTGTAGTTCAGCAACTGTGTGTCAGCCACACAGTTGTGTGGCTGTGTGTCAACTGTGTGACTGGATGAAGGTGGCTGCGCAAACATTCATGCGTGGTTCTTAGAACACGACAAAACATTGTCTTGGAGCTCTCCGTGATCTTGAAGCTTTTGCTTGAAGCCCCTTGAAGCGAGGTTTCATTCATTTTTTGATATATTTCTCGTCCTAGTGGGCGCTGTAAGTCAATATATTAATACTGAAATACCAGAGTTATTTGCGCAATCTGGTGGTTACTTTTTATATGTCTTGAATCTGGTGAGCAAGTGTCCTTCAGATTTTTGTGAAATTGTTTTGTTTAATTCCAAGCTCTTTAAAATGCTTCTAAAAATGAGAGTATATAAAACAATTACGAGTGAATTTACTCCCAAATTCTTTCATAGACCAGGAGTTTTTTGATTAGAGGGTAGGGCCAGCACAACAAGCTCTGCTTGGCAGAAGACAGAGAAGACAGTTCTGTCCTTGTGAATTCTTCCATTCAAAAGGTTCTGACTGAAGTTATAAAAATCATCCGCATGAGCTTCCATTTCTACAGCCTTGCGGGTGCCTGAGCTCTCTCAATCCCTCTCCAGCTTGGCTTTGGGAGTCAAAATAGACACCATGGGTCAAGCTCACCACAAAGGTGGAGGTAGATTTGTTATGCTTGGGCCTTGGACACTGGTCGGCTACAACAGCAGAAATTGATGCTCATGATCCCTGGGCATAAATATATGATCAGTTTACCAATGCCTGAGTCTTAAACTATCACATGATATTTGTAATTTGAATAGGTATTTTGTTATAATGTTAGTATGAGCATTGTTATAGTTTGTTTCTCAACAAATTAGGTTAAGGTTTAGGCTTAATCGGTTGGGCTGGCATAGACAAGGTGTCTATTCAGTGCCCACATCAGGTATGAGATTATGTAATGCAGGCTGCAGGGAGCCTGAAAGGCATAGAATAATCAGGTATGAAGAGATTCTGCCGTGGCCTGTGTGTTCTGACCATTGTGCTCCTTTCCCAACAGTTCAAGTCGTCCAGATTCCAGGCCAGGGGTCGACAACAAGTACCATACCGCAAGCAACCAAGATGTCTCTCCGGCAAATATCAGCTGCACTGAGACGGAGAAATAGCCTCATTCTCCTGCTATGCCTGGTGGCATTTTATCTCCTCTGGTTTCAATTAGGTAGGTACTTATTGATCAACATCTTCAGATCAGGTGCAGAACTTCATTTGATTCCAATCTTAATGTTTACTGCTTTTCATGTTAAATTGAACAAAATAATGTGTATCATTGCATCAATGAAATTTTATTGCATGTAAAGTGCACCATGCCATTTGCCAATGGCTTGAATTTTGGTCTTTACTTGCTCTTTCATGTGACATTACATCCAGGTTTTTATTTACCTGTGAACCACAAGGTAGGAACCTAGATTTGTTGAGCAATATGCATCATCATGTAAACTGACCTGAATGGCCTCTGTTCCAGCTGGAGTGCGGCTGCTGGAGGGTTCTGGCCACCCACACTCTGACCAGTGGGAGGAGAGGGTGGCCAAGGAGCTGTACGCCATGCGACTGCAGGTGCGTTGTAAACCCATTCATGCTTCAGTCTCATTTTGTTTCAATCAGTCTGCTGGACTTCAAGCTTACTATGTTGTGTGGCCGCTATGCATGCTGGCTGACAAGAATAATAGGTAGATACAAGGAAAGTGGTAAATTTTGATTGCTCTCCATTTCTTTCTGATAGTGGATATTTGTTGTTCATTTTTATAAGCCATACCATCTACAGCTTCACTGAAGCTCTTATTTTTTGAGTAACTAACTAAACATAGTTTATTTAACATCCATGGACCCTATCGACATCCATCGAATCCAACCATGACCTTGCAACTTTCCTGGCCTCCATTGAGCATCCATTGGACATGTGTCGCTATCGTCAGGCGTCGGAGATGCGTCGCCAGCTGACGCGGCTGGGCAGTGCGCCGGCCCACTGGCGTCACCCCGACCTGCCCACCATCTTTGTGGTGACTCCCACGCACGCCATCCCGACTCAGAAGGCCGACCTGGTCAGGTATGTCTCTAGGAGATGGCGGGGTAAAAGCAGTGTGTCCTGTCGAGTGGGTGCTTGGAATTTGTGGAGTGGCTCTGAAATGGTGATTTGACTGTTAACTATGAGGATTTTAGTTTTGTATTGTGATATATCTGGAAGCATGCCAGAGCAACTGAAAAACATGTCGTTTCGAGCCTAGCAAATAATCTAGTGCTTATTCGACGCATTTCCCAACTTAGTTTTGAACTAATAATCTGAAATGCATCCAAAAATATTATAAAGTCATGAAACTCCATCGTCCATCTCCTATCGCCCGCTGCTTGTACATGGGCGCCGATGCAGGCAGCAGACGTCCTCTGCACTCTTTAGTCTGGAGGTGCCATAAACACCCACAAATCACCATGACCATCTCCACTTACATAAGCCGTCTCCCTCCCTCAGATTATCCAACACGCTGCTGCACGTGCCGAACCTGCACTGGTTGATAGTGGAGGACGCCGACCACAAGTCGGAGCTGGTGAGCCGTCTGCTGCGCCGCTCCGGGCTCGTCTACACACACCTCAGTGTGGCCACGCCACCGGAGCTCAAACTGCAGCCCAAGGTACGCTGTGAGAGGGCACTGGAGGCTCGGGCTGCGGGTGGAGAGGCGTGGGCTGATAATAGAGAAGCGTGGGCTGAGGTAGAGAGGCGAGGTACTGAGACTGAAGATGGGAAAGAGAGAGGAATGAGGTGGAAGTGTGCGCAGCTGAGTGCTGACGCTTGGCGTTGTAGGTTGTTGAGATAAAATAAAAACTGAAACTATTTACGTTCGTACCATGAACCTGTATAAAAACAGCAAACATGCTTAATAACTTAAACCTGGATAATTTTCCAATCGACTCAATGTTCGTTTTGCTCAGTGCCAATGCTGGAGCATTGCTTGAACTGACCTTCATGCCACCATGAACTCTTACTCTTGTATCTCCCTTTAGTCTTCTGCATCCCCTCTGACCTCCTTCCCCTCTCCTTCCCGGCAGGACCCGCGCTGGAAGAAGCCCCGCGGCGTGCTCCAGCGTAACGCGGCGCTGTCCTGGCTCCGGGAAAACCTGGAGATTGTCGACGCCAACGGAGTGGTGTATTTCGCCGACGACGATAACACGTACAGCCTGGAGCTGTTCACTGAGGTGAGTGTGGTCTGAGGCGTAACCGGACAAATCTTCGTATGGCATTTCTTCGTCGCGCAATATTTCGTCCGCATTTCTTCGTCCGCAAATCTTCGTCGGCGCATTTATTCGTGTCGCATTACTTCGTCTCGCATTTCTTCGTAGGTGCAAAAATTCGTAGCGCATTTCTTCGTATGCGCATTTCTTCGTCGGCGCATTTCTTCGTCAAGCATTTTTTCGTCCAAGCATTTCTTCGTCTACGCAAATCTTCGTCCGCATTTCTTCGTCCACGCAAATCTTCGTCTGCGCAAATCTTCGTCCGCAAATCTTCGTCCCCGCAAATCTTCGTCCGCAAATCTTCGTCCGCATTTTTTCGTCCACGCATTTCTTCGTCTACGCAAATCTTCGTCCGCATTTCTTCGTCCACGCAAATCTTCGTCCCCGCAAATCTTCGGAGGCGTAACCGGACAAATCTTCGTATGGCATTTCTTCGTCGCGCAATATTTCGTCCGCATTTCTTCGTCCGCAAATCTTCGTCGGCGCATTTATTCGTGTCGCATTACTTCGTCTCGCATTTCTTCGTAGGTGCAAAAATTCGTAGCGCATTTCTTCGTATGCGCATTTCTTCGTCGGCGCATTTCTTCGTCAAGCATTTTTTCGTCCAAGCATTTCTTCGTCTACGCAAATCTTCGTCCGCATTTCTTCGTCCACGCAAATCTTCGTCTGCGCAAATCTTCGTCCGCAAATCTTCGTCCCCGCAAATCTTCGTCCGCAAATCTTCGTCCGCATTTTTTCGTCCACGCATTTCTTCGTTTACGCAAATCTTCGTCCGCATTTCTTCGTCCACGCAAATCTTCGTCCCCGCAAATCTTCGTCCGCAAATCTTCGTCCGCAAATCTTCGTCCGCAAATTTTCGTCCGCATTTTTCGTCCACGCATTTCTTCGTCCAATCACATCTTCGTCCGCAAATCTTCGTCCGCAAATCTTTGTCTGCGCTATCTTCGTCTCCGCAAACACTCGATGGTTTTATTGAACCACACTTGTGGACGACGTCCACAAGTGTGGTTCAATAAAACCATGAAGAAGTATCAGACAGTCAAGTGAATGACGAATTTGATGCATCGAATGGATGGTCGAAACTTTTGAAGTCAGGTAGATGAGGTCAGTCAGGTGAAGCTATTGTATTTGGAGCCGACAATTGTAACATTCCATATCATTTGTGTCCCGGACATTCTTTTTTTCGCGGTAGTTGAATGACAATATTATCTTTTGTACCCTCGCCGGCATAGGCGGCGGAACGGGGAGGGCACCGGGGCACCGTTCCCCTCTTTAATTTTGGCCTTTTAACAGTAGCCCTATGGGCGTTGCATGGAAAGCATATTGGACCAAAAGTCGGCAGTGCCGTTTCCCCATTAATTGAAGATGTTCCGCCGCTACTGCCCGCCGGACCTATTTGTTTTCTACGGTACACGCCGGCCGAGGGGGCGGGTTACGACCCCCCCCCCCCATCGCCGTTTCGTCACTGGTGGAGCTAGCGCGTCGCGGAAAAAACGAGCGTGTGCGCCGTTACGAGCCGCAGAGATTAATACCCGATTTTAAGGCCTTCTAGGTCAGGGGTCGGCATACGGCCCGCGGGCCGGATCCGGCCAGGTGGGTGACGGTTGGATCCGGCCCGCGACCATCTGACGTCCGGCCCGCGGCTGGTATCAGCGACTTACATCGTGTTCCGGCCCGTCCCCCCCCCCCCACACACACACCGCCTGGAAGGTTAAAGGGACCCTCCCACCTTAACATTAGTTTTGAGTTGAGATAGCCAAGTTTGCGGCCAGGCTCAGAAACCACCATTTATCCTGGTCGCAACCCCCGCAGCTTTATGGTGTTCAAGAAATTTCTTCCCTTTAGTTGCAGGGTGGGACCAGCGTGGTCCCTATCTCTTAACCATTACGGGAATCTGATGACGTCATGAGGCTTTCGAACGTCCGTTAAATGTTTGACTAAAACGTTTTGTAGCACGCGGTGGTATATGCTGCTTTGCGCGCAACAAATGCCGCGCTTTCAAATAAAGTCGCTAGGAACAGCGGAGATCCCAAAAAGTAAACAAAAGTAAAAGTCTAATATCTTGAAAACCGGTGAATATTTTTCGATGAAATTTGGTAGAAATTCGTTTTTGCTCTTTCTGAACCGAGCGACATCACTTTCATGCCAATTCATTAACTTTTTTGAAGGTGGGAGGGTCCCTTTAAGCGAGTAGACCACGTGAAGCCGCCAAGTGCACGCAGCTGCAGCAGTCGTTGATGCTGCGCGCAAAAGCTGCTGACCAAATCTTACCGTTGCAAGTTTTGTCTAGAAGTAGAATTAGACAAAAACACCCGCAAATGGTGTTTATAAACTCATGAAGTGTGCGAAGGAAGAACTGTTGTGCCAAAGCACTGAAGTAACTTTTATATCGGAGTCGATTTATGAAGGAACCGCGGGCCGGAACACGATGTAAGTCGCTGATAACAGCTACGGGCCGGACGTCAGCTGGTCGCGGGCCGGATCCAACCGTCACCCACCTGGCCGGATCCGGCCCGCGGGCCGTATGCCGACCCCTGACCTAGAAGGCCTTAAAATCGGGTTTTAATCTCTGCGGCTCGTAACGGCGCACACGCTCGTTTTTTCCGCGACGCGCTAGCTCCACCAGTGACGAAACGGCGATGGGGGGGGGGGGGGGGTCGTAACCCGCCCCCTCGGCCGGCGTGTACCGTAGAAAACAAATAGGTCCGGCGGGCAGTAGCGGCGGAACATCTTCAATTAAGGGGGACACGGCACTGCCGACTTTTGGTCCAATATGCTTTCCATGCAACGCCCATTGGGCTAGGGCATAGGGCCAAAATTAAAGAGGGGAACGGTGCCCCGGTGCCCTCCCCGTTCCGCCGCCTATGCCGGCGAGGGTACAAAAGATTATATTGTCATTCAACGACCGCGAAAAAAAGAATGTCCGGGACACAAATGATATGGAATGTTACAATTGTCGGCTCCAAATACAATAGCTTCACCTGACTGACCTCATCTACCTGACTTCAAAAGTTTCGACCATCCATTCGATGCATCAAATTCGTCATTCACTTGACTGTCTGATATTTCTTCATGGTTTTATTGAACCATATTTGTGGACGAGTGTTTGCGGAGACGAAGATAGCGCAGACAAAGATTTGCGGACGAAGATTTGCGGACGAAGATTTGATTGGACGAAGAAATGCGTGGACGAAAAATGCGGACGAAAATTTGCGGACGAAGATTTGCGGACGAAGATTTGCGGACGAAGATTTGCGGACGAAGATTTGCGGACGAAGATTTGCGGACGAGGATTTGCGGGGACGAAGATTTGCGTGGACGAAGAAATGCGGACGAAGATTTGCGTAGACGAAGAAATGCGTGGACGAAAAAATGCGGACGAAGATTTGCGGACGAAGATTTGCGGAGACGAAGATTTGCGGACGAAGATTTGCGCAGACGAAGATTTGCGTGGACGAAGAAATGCGGACGAAGAGTTGCGTAGACGAAGAAATGCGTGGACGAAAAAATGCTTGACGAAGAAATGCGCCGACGAAGAAATGCGGATACGAAGAAATGCGCTACGAATTTTTGCACCTACGAAGAAATGCGAGACGAAGTAATGCGACACGAATAAATGCGCCGACGAAGATTTGCGGACGAAGAAATGCGGACGAAGAATTGCGCGACGAAGAAATGCCATACGAAGATTTGTCCTGGAATCGGTCTGAGGGAGTGTCAGTTTGGACGGGTTTGCTGGTTGATGGCTGATGCTTCATTCTTGAGTGTCAGTTGTGATGTCAATCCTGTGATTCTCAACATGCGTCAATTCTGAGCATATGCTGTTCTAAATGGAACTTTTGTGAAAGTAACGATCCCCAAGCCGAGTTGTCTGCCTACCCCTACTCTCTGTCATATACGGGACATACCTATTTACCTGCAGTCTGTCAGAGCGTGTGACCTGTTCCTTGAAAGCACTAATCTGTTATGACACCCTGCCTGTGGCAATAAGAGTGGTCTGACTTTGCGATGGGACGTGGCGAACAGTAACGTCCTGTCTTTGAGTCTGTGAACGTTTGGCTGTTCGACACCTTACCGGGTATCTGACACATGACCGATCCCCACCCCACCCAGCCCTGCCTGACCGCCCGCTCCCTCTCCTCCCACCCTAGCTGATGCGCCACATCCAGTCAGTCGGTGTGACCTGTGTGCCGAGTCTAACTGGACGCCAGTTGTGTGTGACACATGATGTCTGATCTACGGCCTTATCCCCCCTTGCCCAGATGTGCTACATCCAGTCGGTCGGTGTGACTTGTAACGCCCAACCGCACACCAGTTGTGTGTTGCGCTCAGCCTCGCCTGACCCCTCTCCCCTCCCAGATGCGTGACATCCAGTCGGTCGGTGTGAGCCGTGCTACCTGTGACACCCAACTGCATGCCAGTTGTGCGTATGGTGTGGGGTATGCCTATTGCCTAATCTGCGCTCAGCTTCTCCTGACTAGTCTCTCGCCTCCATCCCCAGATGCGCGACATCCAGTCGGTCGGCGTGACCTGTGGGCCCTTAACTATGTACACGCCAGTTGTGTATTACGCTCAGCCTCGCCTGAGCTCTCACTTTCTCCGCAGATGCGCGACATCCAGTCAGTCGGCGTGTGGCCCGTGGGTCTGGTCGGGGGTGTGATGGTGGAGCGACCCCTGGTCGATAACGGACGCGTCACCGGCTGGCTGACCCCGTGGAGACCGGACCGGGCCTTCGCCACCGATATGGCCGGATTCGCCGTTAATGTGCGGTGAGTTGGGCACGCTGCGGAGAGGGGGGAGGAAGGAGGGGTTGAGTTGGAACGTTGCTGTGAGAAAGTAGTTGATCTGTTACGGATATTCTCAATGAACCTAGTTTTCACACATTTAACCCGCGATCTGGTGGGGGGGGGGCTATTTTTTGCCCCCCCCCCTCCAGACTTTTCGATATATCTCCAGAACCGCTGCGCCGATCGTCACCAAACTTTCAGTACCCTCCCGGATTTGGAAAAAATTTTGGAAAAATTTTTCCAAAGGCTATGATAGGTTGGCCGGAAATGACGTCAGAGTGACGTCATGTTCTGCCGTTTTCGACCCAAAAAAGGGTTTCGCGGGAAGAGCTGTCAGGCCTATAGCTTTGCAAATACAGAAAAATGATAAAGACATAAAAGCTGTAGATTGGACAGGGCTACAAAACTGCTATCTCGGATTTTAGAAATTTTTGGATTTTGACCCCCAAAAATCAAAAAATAGATTTTTTGGATATAATAATCGAAAAATCCAAAAAGTTTTTTGAATTTCACCAAAACCGGAATATATGTGATAGTCCTTACCGCCTTCCATCCACATACCACATTTGAGATTGATACCTCTTTTTTTGGCGAAGTTATAGCGAAAAAACTGTTCAAAATTGATGACGTCAAATTTTCAAACTCAATTTTTAGCAATTCTAGACCCCGTAGCGCAAAACAAAGACCACCATTAGACTCCCCGTGACGAGCTGCATCGAATCAATACCCATTTTATGCAAAACTATCAACTTTAAATTTGACCTTTTTTGGCCTGACCTTGACCTGACCTTGATCTGAACTTCACCAGAAAGTGACCTAAGCCGTACCTGATAGTCTTATAACCAACACCATTGAGTTGGAAATGAAAAATTGGCCATAAAACATGTATCACACAACCTTAGTAAAGTTGGGCTCATGTGACCTGACCTGTGACCCTTGGTGACCTGACCTGTGACCTGACCTGGTATTGCTAGTGACCTCTAATAGCAACATATCTACTAGGCAACTGACGCCCTACCGCTGATTCTCGACAAAATGCGTTTTCCTCGGTGTTACAGCGCATTCCCTAGAAGACCCGTGAACGGTGAAACATTTCATCTTTGACCTGACCTGTGACGTCATCGGTGACCCCGAGGTCAATGAAATTTGGTTTCCTTCGACAAATTTGACAGGTTTTTCGAACGCCGTTTGAATTTTGCAGATCCGTCCAGTAGTTTCGGAGATACGAGGGGGGGGCAAAAAATAGCCCCCCCCCACCCCAGGTCGCGTTATAAACAGACCCCACCAGGGCGCGGGTTAAAAAACTTGCTCATAAAACATGTATTACATACTATTGACTACGGGACTAAGTTTGCCTCCAATCGTGGTGCAGTCTTAAAAGACGAACACCCACTTTCAACACGGCTCCCAGCTCATGTTCCCGCATGTTTCACAGTTCTCTTGTATTTCCCCCAGACTGGTGCTAAACCACCCTACCGCCTCGTTCTCCATTGAGTCCCAGCGCGGCTTTCTGGAGACGGACCTGCTTACACAAATGGGGGTCACCCTGGATGACCTCGAGGTCAAAGCAGACCTTTGTACAAAGGTGGGTACGCATGGACCGATGTGTTTGTGTGTGTGTGTGTGGGGGGGGGGGGGCTGGTTGACGCTTGGTGGGACTTTCTTTGAATCGTTTCATTTTTTTGTTATGGTTAACTATTTTTTTTCATGTGACGGTCCTCTGCAAATATTACTGGGAAATGCGAAAGCCCTGCTCCAAAAGCTCTTGAAGTGCTGCTGTGAGCTGGTGAACAAACTTCAACTCAGCATCATCTTATGCTGGGCTGAATGGTTTGATGTGTCTGTACTATAGATAAGCAGAAGAGGTTATGTCTCTGTTGATAAGTGTAACCTCTTGTGACTGTTAACCTGATAATTGTTCGGGAAAGACAATTTTAGCAATCTCGTCGCGGACCATAACACTGACACGATGAGTGCCTTGTAATGCTGTTGCCTTAGATTTCCGCAGTTCTGATCGCTGACAGCAACCTCACCACCTTTTCACCAGGTTCTGGTGTGGCACACACAAACGGCCAAAGCCGACCTCAAGATAGAAAAGATTATGGAACAGAAGGGCAAGCCGGCTACAAACGTCGGTATAGAGGTGTAGCACACGCCTGCCCGCTAGATCTACCACATCTTCACCGGGCCTTGCGTAAGACTAGGCTGTACCGCGGCCGCACCCGCGTCCTCAGCGAAGGCAGTTGGGTAGCGCTGTTACTTCGACTCATCAGTCACAGCGGTGAGATGTTTCACTAGGGTTTATGCGTCATTATATGGGCGCTATGCTCGTGAGTACAACCAGAGAGATTGAGCTCGATTCGGGGTGATAGCTCCGTTGGATGTGGGATGTTTATATTCATTCCGTCCATTAGCGGGGAGGGTGTTCGGTTTCGTCTGGAAGTGACACCGATCGAAGAGCTTGTTCACTGAGTGGCCAAAGGTCGGTTGACTGGTCTTTCGTCTAAGAGATAGGTCAGAAATCAGATTGCTGACGCCAATTCGAGGAGATCTCGGTCAGAGTGAGATTTTGCCTGATGGTGCCTCGAACTAACTGGGAAGAGATATGCAAGGGATTGCAGTTGAGAAAAAATGCTATGAATATCGGTGATTCAATCTCATATCAAATACTATCGAATTCATACGATCGATACTGCTCATCAATAACTAATGATGCATCACTGTCATGATCAAAGTGATATATTGCAATCACAGTTCATCATAGTCATATCATCACCATTATCACAATCACCCTCACCAGTCACCATCATCACGTATCAATCACCACTGGTGTCGTACTGCTGCATTTGAAGTTCGACTGGCTGTTTGTGATGAACTGTCCTGTATAGTTACTTCTCTGAGCAACTGAAGAGCAGTGTCGATTGGCTGCTTATAATGGTTGGCTGCTCCTTTTACCCTGGTCAGTGATGTGTTCAGAAAGGAGCGTGGTTAAGTGGATTGGAAAGGGATTCCTAACTGCGACACAGGGTTGGTTTAGTGCAGTTTTTATTACCATGTAGTTATATTATGGCTGAATGTGATAGTTTAGTTGTAGCTAGTGTTTGTATGTAGGATGAACACAATGCCAAGTTCAGAGTGATAACATTTCGTCGGTTGTGTTTGTTTGATGATAAATTCAAGTTCATGCGTGATTATTATTCGTTTACAGGTTATTTTCATACTGCCATTTGGCTTATTTATTATTTGTGAACTGCATTTGTTTGACATTGATTCGGTGATAGTTGGGAATCTATGGAATTATATAATAGTTATGTTGTAGTGCTCACATATTTCAATAATTGGCTACATATGGAATGTTTGTTTATCTTACATTTAACGTTCGAGTTTTAAAAGAGTTTGAACTTCGCAATTATATCCGAAGTAAATGAGTATTGTGTATATCATTTACTTTTAACATATTCTCTTGGTTTTGTTTGAAATTCTCGCTGCCCTTGCTTCCAGTTGAAATTCTAAACTCATGCACAAGTGTTTATGACTCTTATGTAAATAGTAAAAATGTATATCGAGCTTTAAGCGAGCTAGCTTGCGTCTGGTTTCTTACTATCCTCTGCGCTAGGCCGCTTTGTTGGCTTATCTTTGCTGCTTCGACTTCTGTAGATAATTGATGTTTGTAAGAAGACCAACTTTAGAAATTGAGCTTTATTTTGAAGCTCTGTCAGCGTCACAGTTATCAGTGTCACCACCTACCTTGCGTCGGCGATATGAGTTAGTGGAATGGTTATCGCACTTGTGTACGGTATCTTGCATTGATTGTTGCAAAGAAGAGTCGCAATATCGCACGAGGAAAAATAAACATGCTCGTTTTGCAATGTATGGAAGTTTGCCGTGGTTTTGTGGTCATTGGCTGTCACTTGTGTTTGCCCTCATCGATCTAGATTTATTTTCTCCAACCACTCAGCATCTATCTTGTCTTGTGCCTCATATTTGTGGGTTATCTAAATCATTTTGCGTTACTACAGAACATTGTTGTGATGTAAAACATTACATTTGGGGCTAGAATACCTTTTGAATCGGTGAATGAGATGCACCTTTCGAAGGATCATCAGCCCGAATGACACGAGGTAGTCGGCAGCTTCTTTGCGAATATGTTCAAAATCAAGTTTGCCTTTCATCGATTTTCCTGTAATTTTTCATGTCTGACTCGCCGCGCTGCATTCAGCTTCAAATAGCAGATTTCGAACTTTGTGAGCCATTTCGATAAATTTTGATATTTCAATAGCCTTAGCACTACTATCATAACGCACCATGGATATCGGTGCGCTTACACCAAGCGAGATAACCAGCTGTTACAATGGCTTGTCCGTCAACGTAGAACAACGAGCAATGCTGGAAAACTCGCTCGCCAAACTACAGGCTGACAACAAGGCGAAGGAAATGAAGTTCTTGGGCTGCATCATGGGCATGGACGGAGACTACTTCTTGGCTCAAACTGTTGGAGAAGATGTACTCAGTGACCTGAAATATTTCTACAGGTGAGTTCGAATGAGTGCGTCTTTTTCTCTTACTGCTGTGTCCCTCATGTCACTTAGTTGTATGTCTGCCTCCCCTGTCATGTTTGTACTTTGTTTGACTTCCTGACAATCTTTATCTCACCTCTGTTCTGTTTGTGCCAGCACCGACGGCTGCCACTGGAGTCTGCTGCAGGACTGCAACCCCAAGCTGGTGGCCGGTGCCAGCAAGGTGCGGGGCCGCTTCACCGGCGACCCGGCGCACGACTACGAGGGCGGTCCCGGCCACGGCGCCGGCCCGTCCGGCAGTCCGACCCGCTCCACTCCGGACGAGGAGGCCGCCGCTCTCGGGGTACGTTGTTAACTGGTTTGTGTAGATTGTACTCAATTGGTCTAGTTCAGGCGTCACCTATGCTCACTCGGGTTGATAGCTCCACTAGTTTGGTTATTACATATTACGGACTTCTATTAAAAAGAGAAAGAGAACGGTAAAGCAAGTTACGTTGTTCTTGCAGTCATCCTTGAGCTCCGAAACTCGACGTTTCTTGAACTATTATCTCGGTTAGGTACCGGGTGGCGCCTGCTCTTCATTCGTCTGTCTCCAACACCCTACCTAGTCCTGATCTGTTCTGAATTGGCCAGGCTTCTGATTACCTCTGTAGACCCTCTCTCACTCGACCCCGCCCCTCCCCAGCCTGTGATGAAGGAGGAGGACCGACTGGCTTTGACTAACTTCTATAGACACTTCCTAACTCGATCCCGTCCCTCCCCCTCCCCAGCCCGTGGTGAAGGAGGAGGACCGACTGGCGTACGTCGTCCACCAGCTGTTTCACGAGACCGCCATTGTGCCGAGGAAGGCCCTGATGTATACTGCCTCCGGCACCGTCATCAAAAATCCGTCATTCAAAGGTACGGTTAACGGTTAACCTGGCGGCGGGTAATTTTGCCAACGATGTTGTTTTGGCTTTTTAAAAGGAGCTTCGGTAAGAGTGTGTACCGTATAGTTGTTGAAACGTATATTGTGCATAGGTTGTGTAACTGTGATGAATATTTGTATGATTGTTGTGGGAATAGTAGCGCCCACCTTTGTGGCTCAAATTTTCGGGACTATTTGCCTAAACTCGATGGTTATTAATTATTGAAATTGTAGACAAAAGTACTAAGCTCACTGTCAGAACAGTACTAAGCCCTGCGTACTTAGTTGAAATTAAAGGGTTTGCTTAGGGTTAATTGGTTTCAAATAATCTGCCGTCGGGAGGAAAAAAGCCGTATCTGGGGCACTTTTTCGAATTGAAAATTGTTCAGGAGAGGCAAAAAACGCGTTTTTTTGTTATAAAATTCGTTAACTTTGCTCAATAACAAAACAAAACATACTGCAGTGATCGGAAAGAAATTTTACATCCAATGAAAGTGGTTATAAAAGAGAAATTATTTTAACCTAAAAGCAAAAGGCGAAAAACTTTTTTTCTTCCAATTCAACCCCGAGTTTGCGGAATCTTTCTTTCACGAAAAAAGCCGTATCGTGGAAGAAAGCCGCATCGTACGAGACACCTGAGCAATACTGTCATGAAAAAAGCCGTATGTCTGATACATTGGTTAACCGATCGGGATTAAAACCCTATCGCCATTTTTGTTTAATCATATTGTCGTCAAAAAGCAGTATCATCGGTGCATTTGTATTGACAGTACATATTTGTCCATAAAAGTACTAAAGCAGTTCCGCTGCTGGTTCCGTTCCACTGCTTCAGCTCTCAAGTATGGATATTTAATAGAACGCTCGATACAAAACAAACATGATACCCATTTTAAACTACATCATCCATGTATTGTATAATCGCATTATTGTCGCAACTTTAGGCTCTTGGATTCTGATTGCGCAGGGTGCCATCAAAAGACAGCTTGACCAACCGACCAGGGACGTAGCCAAGGGGGGGGCACAGGGGCCATACCCCCTCTGAAGGCGAAAAATAAAATAAAACTTAATAAAAAAAAATAACCACAGCTGCACCACACCTCAAGAGATAGTGGGCCAAATTCGAGGAGTTTTCCTTTTCTGGAGGGGCACGACACTAGGCCGCGATCTGTGGCCCCTCCCTGAGCAAAATCCTGGCTACGTGCCTGCAACCGACAAGGGGAATCACGTATGCTCATGCTGCCTTTGTACGGTTCTTCAATTTTCGATTACACTGGACCCCAGAGTTAATTCTGAGCCACCGATATATTCGGAGAGATGAGTGTGCCGGTCTGCCGCTGCGCCGGAGCCACGGCGACAATATCGAGAGAACCGAGATAGTGTAGTTTCCCATCGTCGATCTGCAGACCTCAAAGCACTTCAAGGGGGCAAGAGACGATGAGTGGGAATGCTGCTGATTAGCTGGACACAAGGTTCCCGGAAAAGGGACGCTGTTAAGTCACGTGGTGCGCAGCTACAATCACGGAACCGCCCGGCTCCTGAACCAAAATAGAGGATGGTGTAAGAACTTCAGGAATTCCCGTAAAGAAACTGCATCTACAAAGCCTGTGCGAAACATCTAGGGCGACAGCACTGCCGCGCCTGAGGGTGTAAGCAAATGCCGCCTCATTGTCGGAGATCGCTAGACTGCTGAGAGCTCCACACGTCTGCGGGAACGCCCTTTAGAGGACGCACCCTCAAAAGGCCCCCCCCCCCAATGTGCACTCGTATTCACAGGGCTCTGATTATAGCGCCTACTGCAACGGCGCAGTGGGCTATTCAGTACCCCTTGCTGCATCCTCCACCGGCCACAGCTGTGCTGGTAGGCTCTGGGCAGCTGCCCATAGAATATGACAATGTTGGGCTTGTGTGGGTGCTACAAGGTAGCCTAAGTTTCCAATATGATTGAGCATCATGGGTATCAGGGAGCCGGAAAGAAGACGGTAAAGTCATTGACCAGGAATGGAAGTGACAGGGGATGACGTCCCAAAGATACATGGGCGTGGTCACAATTATCACAATGAATGTGACGATGTTGGCAATAGCAATCGACCTTTCACGGTATTCAACTATATCTTCAACGGTTTTATGACAAAGATTGTAGGTCGTCGTACTAAGCGTGTCGGCTACGAGCTGCATGTCTATGATGATTACCGGGTCGAACTTAACATGATGCTATTTTGGTTGTGGGGTGGGGACAGGGAGGCCAAATTAATCATGGGGAGGCTAGGTCGGGTATTTCTTATTGGAATTTTAAACGAAGCTGGGGAAAAGAACGGTCGGATTATACTGGCGCGTTAGCACATCAAAATACTGAATGCCCGGCACCCTGCTGACACCACCGAGCTGGCAAAGTTTTGTTGGCTTCAAACTTCTCAAGTTCACTCCCTATTTTATTTCAATTAAAATTCCCCTATAAATGGTCACATATTGCTACGATCACGTAGCATGTTTGTGTAAATGTTCAACTGTTCCGTCCAGAATATGCCGAAGCCATGCTAAATGAGTAGATACGGCTTTCTTCCAAACTGCCTGGACCAACGATTCGGCTCATATTTCATAGGCCACCATCAAATAAAAGCCGTATCTACAAGATACGGCTTTCTTCCTGCCTTATCAGTTCCACATTCTTTGTTTGAAATTTTGTATAAATGCCGTATCTGCCGAATTTAAGGATACGGCTTTCTTCCTGCGTGTTTTGCTATCCCTGATGTAACAAATCCGTTTTTGAATTTTTATATTATATATAATATTTTCATTTTTGAGTGTACACACATTTGAGCAGTACCATTAAACGCATCATGAAAAGAGCTTTCCAACGATATCAAAAACGAAAAATCGATAAAAATGCGACTTACGGCTTTTTTCCTCCCGACGGCAGTAATGGTTTACGGTATTCTATTTCGTCCGTGGTATACGATTTCTGGAACATGTTGTGTTGCAAACTGTAACGTTACAGCTATACACCTATATCGCGCTTCAAACTCTGTCTGGACCAGTCTACCAATGTTTCCCAACAACCGTCTGACGCTCTGACTTCACCCCAGGTCTGAGCTCTGTGGAGGGGGACCAGCTCGAGTCCTACTTCCACCTGCGCGTTCCCGCCTCTGATCCGATGAAGCGGACTGCTGCCGACGCAGACCTCACCATCGACTTCCTGGAGCCTCTCTCACAGGACCCTTTCAAAGGTGAGAGGCACGTCCGCGGGAGGTGAGAGACCCGTGAAGGGACCTGCCCAACGATGAGAGAGATGAAAAGCTCGTTTAGGAATGAAAACCCCGTTCAGAGATAAGGATATACATAGTGTATATTTTAGAGACAAAGAGTCCCGTTTAGATACAATGGACCGCTCACAGGTGAGATACCTACTTGTTCGGAGGTTCGAAGGGAAGCGATCCGTTCTTAGGTG